GTGTGGGTGTGGGTGTCGGTGTGGGTGGGTATGGGCGTGGGTGTGGGTGTGATATAAGTGATCACTTAGATGCTATCACACACCCACACTCTCGGCACGGCTGCACCAGGGTAGTTCCTAGTCGCGCGCGCGCGAATAGAATAAGCATTACTTTCATCAATTCAACTTGAATTTTTTTGAAAGGAAAGAAAAAATTCGTCGTGATGAGTTCATTCGATTGAAAAGCGTTGAACACGAGCATTTCCCCAATCGACGACATAGAGATTGCCTTGTCGATCGAAGAACAAACCTTGAAGACAGTTGAACTGATTTGCTCCTTCTCCGTAACCATTTTCACCCACAATGACAGTGCCTTGTTTCGCTCCTTTAGACTAACGCATCACTCGGTGATTCCTCGAGTCTGCCACATAGATGGTACCCAACGTATCGACGAACAGTCCATTAGGATAATACAATTGTGTCAGAGCATTCCCTTGGCCTTGACCTCCAGCTACGACAATTCCTTCTTTTGCACCTTTATTCCATTTCATCACACGATGATTTTCTCTGTCTGACACGTAGACAGTCTGTTGTTGATCGACAAAGATGTAGGTCGGCCAGTCGAGTTGATTGAGACCATCACCTTCGCCATTGCCGCCAGCCACGAGAGTTCCATTCTTGTGTCCTATTTGATATCGTCTTACTTGATGTTTCCTGTGGTCAGAGATGTAGAGATATCTCTGATCCTTCATGGTCAATCCCAAATGATCGATGTTGTCGATAAGGATTTCTCCTTGAGTTGTGCCACTACAACGAGACCATCGTACGACTCGGCGATTTCCTGGATCGCAGATAATGAGACTATCAGTCTCTTTGTCGATCAGCACATCGGTTGGAAGATTCAATTGATTCAATCGTTTTCTTTGGCCATTGCCACCAGCTACCACTTTTCCATTCGTATCACCCATCTTCCATTGGATGATACGATGATTGTAGTGGTCAGCGATGGCAATCGTTTGATCATCATCAACGAAGAGACCGTAAGGATAGTAGAGTTGATTGGTGGCATCGCCTAATCCGTGGCCTCCAGCAACGGTCACACCTTTCTGTGCCCATCGGGCATCCACTGGAATATTGTGAATCACTACAATGAACGAGAAAAAGAA